TATGAGGCTATTGAAAATACCATAGCTTGGGGCAGACCCACCTTAGTCTTCAAAGTGAGATCTTTACTTTTTAACACTTTAGAAAGGTCTTTTGCAGGAGACTTGCCAAGAAATCATCTGCTTTCTTGAGTGCTGCCTCCATTGATTGTGGTGGATCCAAGCAAAATGAAATCTTTGACAACTTCAGTCTTTTTTCCTTTTATCATGATGTTGCTTATTGGTCCAGTTGTGAGGATTTTTGTTTTCTTTATGTTGAGGTGTAATTCATACTGAAGACCATGGTCTTTGATCTTCATCAATAAGTGCTTCAAGTCAAGATTTTGTGTCGTCTGCATATCGCAGGTTGCTATTGAGGTTATTATTGCTATGAAGGTGGTTACTGAGTCTTCCACCAAGCCTGATTCTCTGTTCTTCTGCATACAGTTTTGCCTCTCAGATTATTTGCTCAACATAAAGATTAAATAAATATGGTGAAAGGATACAACCCTGACATAAACTTCCTCATTTTAATCCCCTTGTTCTGTTCAAATGACTGTCTCTTGGTCTATGTACAGGTTGCTCATGAGCACAATTAAGTGTTCTGGAATTCCCGTTCTTTGCAATGTTTTCCCTAATTTGTTATGATCCACACAGTCGAAGCTCAACATCAGTCAAAACAAGGCTAGGAGATGACTGTGGAACAGATCATAAATTGTTCCTATACAAGTTCAAGTTGAAGCTGAAGAAAATTAAAACAAGTCCAGGAGAGGCAAAATACACCCATAATTATTGGTATGGCAGGTCAGTGTTATTCTCTTCTTTTCTAAATGCAATAAAACACACCTTCTCCTAAAGGATAGTGGCTAAAATGGAACTTTTGTTGAGCCAGGTGAAGTCTTGTCTTTCAAGTTGGGAATTCTTTTCAGGGTGAAAGGGCTGGAAAAAAGAAGTGTTAAGAACATCAAGTCCTTAGGATCTTTTTCAAACTTTAATGTGTTCAAAGGACTCCCCTGATAGCACACAAGGTTAAGTGTTTGTCATGGGTTGAATTGTGCCCTCCCAAAATTTGCATCAACTTGGCTAGACCATGGTTCTCAGTGGTTTAGAAGTTGTGTAATGATGTAATGTGGCCGATATGTAATGTTACTCCATGATGTGATCTGATGTGATAAGCTGATCAGGTGTAAAATATTTAAGATTAAGGGTGGGTTGCAACACCCTTGGTCCCATCATCCCCTGACCCTTTGTAAGAGGAGCTTTACTAGATATGGCCTACAACAATTTTTGTCTTATAAAAGATAAAAGGAGAGAGAAGGGAGCAGAGAAGGGGTCCTACTACTACCAAGGAAGGAGCCAGGAGCAGAGTAAATCCTTTGGACCCAGGGTC